GCGCAGCGAGCGCTTGCAACCACGTTCCTGGAACATTTATTTTTTGTTCACGCACCTTTTTCCGCCTGTCGAAAGCTCCTTTTACCGTCCTACACCGAGCTACTCCTAGCCCGCCGCGGTCCTGCGCTAAGCTTAGAGCCGCAAGGGCGAGCGGCTGTGGTTTGCTGGGGCGGCGAGGTGGAGGATGCTGTCGAGCGGCGGGCCAAAGCCGGGCTCTGGCTGCGGCGGCTGCAGCCAGGCGCCTCCCAGAGCAGTACTGGCCACGGCCTGCTGCAACGCAACTTAGAGCATGCTCCACCAACGTCTCGCCCAGGTCACTGTCGCCACTGCGCGGACCGCCGGCGAGGCACGGTAGGCCTTCCAACGCACTCCTGGCACTCCCACTGCAGACCGATCGAGCCTTGAAGTGCTGCTGGCCCGCGACCAGCTCCGCACTTGCTCCTTGCCGACGCTCGCTGGCAGGAGGCTCCTGAGACAAGCCGCCTGCCTGCCCGTGCGTAGTAGGCGTCCCGCCGCCGTAGTCTGCAGTTGGCACAGGGGCCTGGACCCCCCTTTCACTCGCAGTGGCAAAAAGAAATGAAATTTCCAATCCCTACTTGGTTGGAATCCAGGTGTGTCTTTCCATGTTTTGTTTTTGTTTTCCGCAACAAAGCACGTCTTTGTCCGTTTCTTTTGTTTTGTGTGGCTGCTCTGAACGCATGCGCGATTGTAGGCATACAGTAATTGTGATGCACCTTCGGCACTATTGCATCTAGCCTCGAGACGTCTGAAAATTGTAAGGGCGTCCATGCATGCACCAGGCATGCTGATGCATGCCGCGCACACGTGTCGCCGGCAACAGAATGCGCATCTGACCGCAAACAAGGTAATTACGGAATTCTGGCGGCTGCCAGCGGTCAACCGTGTTTTTCCCCCGTTTCGTAGATTTCTCGGCATGTTAGGACGTGGACGAACACTTGAGGAACAACAACGGCTGAAAAAACACCACCGGCCTTGCAGCGCATTCGAATGCGACTTCCAGAAAGAAAGGATGGGTATGGCACGCAAACGGTTTGGTCGCCGACGACCTTATGCATGCACGTAGCGACGGCGGCACCTGGCTGCTGTGAGCGGCAACAGTACAAGCGTGCGGAGGGACCACAGCAAGAAAGCACGGAAAAATGGTAGGTCCAGTTCACGTGGCAACATCCGTTCGCGAAATGCATCAGCAGCCTGGGAAACTGAACTCTGCCATCCGCGGGTCAGGTCCTGCTTGGGCATACAGTCGTGCTTTTGGCGCAACAACTTGCAGTAAATAGTTTCCAGCGTGCGGACGAATCCAGCGGGCAAAAAATGTGGCAGCCGACCTCTTCCATGTAAAGGTTTCTTGACGCTTTCGGTCGCGGTTCCGGGCAGTCCATACATCAGCTGTGTACGTCACATGACTAAAACCGGCACTGCCGGATGTTCCATGCACGAAGCAATGCTAAGCTCGTCAGGTGCTCAGCGACATTGATGATTCGATCGGTATCGGACATGTCTGGGGGTTCAACGGAACATACGGAACGAACACCTGGACCAACTACAGAAAACATTCCACAAACCCGGCTGCATTAACTAATCGCTGCAATTGTTTTGGTGTTTTCAATACTGCTCGTAACAGAACATGTTCATAGCCGTGAAGGTCGGACAGTAGCACGGGGCGCATCTGTCTTATTCTGCCAGCTTTCGCTGACTTCCGGTATACTCTCGGGACAACCGTCGTGTTGAAAGCATGCATGGCCTCTAGGGAACAACAGTAGGTTGTCTAACGAATTCCGAAATGTCCTTTGTTGCTGCCGTGACTTCATTTCTGGTCACGACACAGATTGGGCAGCGCAACATCAAGAAATACATGCCGTACGGGGAAGTGCACGCAAGCCTGAAACCCTCCGGCTGGTTCTCCCTTGCCGAATATTTGCGAAGTCACCAAGCCTGGCACAACCGTCGGCAGCGACGCTTTCGTCCGCTGGTGGCGAAATTCAAACGTCATGCACAGGATGGTGTCCTTCTGCATACCCCTGCTGTTTCGGTTTTACTGCACCGTCGTGTCCAGCAGCATGACAGCATACAGCACACTCCTGGGATTTACAGATGCCTGTGCTATTGGCGGAGTTCATCAAACACCACAACCGCCACCATCGTCATGCTCATGGCTCGTGACAACCGCCGTGTAAACACTGAATATTACGGGTCGCTGCAGTTTTCATACTCTGGCAACAGCAAGCACATCTTTCAGACCAATACCCCCTCTGTGACCCACAGAAAGATCTCACCAATCTCTATCTGCGAGAGCTTACATATTCCCTATTCCCGGAGCATGCACAACGACGGCAACCACAGCTCGAGACCACAGCTGTTCCACACATATACAGTACACGTCAACTGCCGGAACGCAAGAAACAACGCATTTGGCATCTTCTGAAGCTCGACATCTCAACTGCCGGCATTGTGATTCAGGCCCGAAATGACTTTGCGACGTAATGCATGACTGTTGAGGCGTGGCAGTTCGACGTCGTTCTACGCGCGGGTGCGACGAATGCAGGCAGGGACTGCGTCTGGCAAAGGGTTGCGCAAAATTCGCTTCCAGCTCTTCGCGTCTGACAGAAGTGCATGGCCCAGCATGGCATTGTGGATCGGAATTCTGGGCTCATGCATCGTCGGGATACATCAGATGGGAAAGCCATGTGGGAATGCATTGTTTCCTCGACTGGGTGCACCAACGAGGGTTGCGTCGCAGCATCGGGAATGCACACTTCACTTGAACCGCTGTCACGTTCGTTTCGAACTGTGCTATCGATGTCCCACACACGCGGCAGCCTGCTGCTATCGACGCACTCTGCGAGGGTCTCGGAGGTACATGAAAGGCACCGTCGGCGACGTTCGACGTTTCCACGCGGCAGCCTGCCGCTATCGGCGCACTCTGCGAGGGTCTCGGAGGTACATGAAAGGCACCGGATTTTGTCGGCGACGTTCGACGTTTCAGACGTCCGATGTATCGGCAGATATACTTCTTGCAAGCCTTGAGTTTAGTCAAGGATTCAAGGATCCCTCAGAAGAAACCTATGATTAAACCGTAAAACCCTGAAACAGGACTTCATCCCAGCCGGAGCCTTCGTTTTTGATTCTACGCAGATGCTCTGCTCTCACGCTTTCAAACTCGGAACTCGAAGGACCGTCGACGATCGAACCTTCGAACTCTGCCCGTTTCAAACCTTCATACGTCTCAAACTTCAGCTGTAACGGATGGTACACATCTCAGCGCCGCCTGCTTATGAGGAAGACGCAAAAACGGTACAGCGCTGCGGCAGCCTACTCCGTAGGAAAGCGTGCTGTCTTGAACTGCAGACAACCAGTACTAGTACTGCGGAGAGGCGAGAAGCACAGAGAGCGTCGCCCCTCGCACGTGAGGCCGGAAAGGGCGGCTGGTCCGGGCTAGGCGTCGGGGTGGCAGCTCGTCAGTACACAGATGTAAACAGAGCGGCAGCAGCAGCCTTCAGCAAGACTGGGCAGCGTCGGCGGTGCAAAGGCACAGGCATTGGAGCACAGCACCAAGATGAAGATTCGAGCGGGGATCTCCTCCTGAACGGTTTTCGCGTCCCCTGTGCCGACAGCAGCCCCGAGGCTGTGATGCCTTCGCTTCCTGCCGCGAGACGCTTTCCTCAAAGTTGGGCCGTCAAGCGATCGGCGGTGAAGCGAGTCTCTGGTAATTGGACCGTTCATTCCGCTCCTTCTCCGCGGCAGCAAGTCTCTCTGAAAGCAGGTTTTTGGTTGTGGCTCAATACCTGGTTTTCCTCCAGATAACGCAAGTTAGCCCCCAATCAGTACAGCACTTGTAAACTTATGGGTTGTAGAATTTCAGCTTATACCAGGTTCACAAGACTTGCAAAATGCTGCCACGCTTGCGTTCCATATGGCCGCCGTCCGATGTCATTGCCCCCCCCTATGTGTGGTTGTGGTAGCAATCTGCGTGGACGGTTTTCAGCTACTGAGGCGTAAAGGTGCAAAAGCCTTGCAACTAGCACTCCGTGAAGAGCGGCGATGTGCATGGCAAACATCCTTACCTGGCTCAGCTTTCAGATATCGCACGTCGGCCACCATCAGACAAAACTCGTTCCTGCGATTCATGACTTCTTTCTGTGAGCCTTTCCAGTTGACAACCGGAATCGATGCAAGAGAAGCGCGTGTGATGTTGGAACATGGATATGGGTAGTTGTCAAATTTTGGTCCCTTTTGGGGTACCCTAAATAATAGGTGCCGTACTAAAATAAGGACCCAAAAAGGGACCATAATTTTGACAACCACCCATATGTGGCTGTCATCCACCGCAGTTGTTCTGATGCTGCCTGCAAGTCCAGCCGAGTGTCTGGAGGAGAAGACGCACAAAGTCGCTAAACCCCCAAACCCTATCCCCTGAAACCCTAAACCCTAAACCCTAAACCCTAAGCCCTAAACCCTACAGATCAACTGGTTGTGCCCAAGCATTACTGCAAAAAATGCACTAAAAGGAAAGAACAAAGTCTTTGAGACACAGCTTCAGGATTGCCACCGGCCACGGTTACTAAGATTTTGTAGTCGTGGTTGCACGTACTTGCTGTTGATAGTTTAGAACAGGGTTTTGGGCCTCCTTTATAAAATAGTTACAAAAAGGAACCGCCCAGAATAGTATAGGTAGTTATTAAGGCCCCTACATTACTGCTTGTAGTGACAAGCCTCTAGCGAAGTCAGAATAGGTCGGAAAAGCCGCAAAAAGAAATCGCCTTGAAGGCGTGCCGGATGGTCGCAGACTTGTGCAGGACTTTCACACCTGCCTTGGTTCACGGAGGCATCTGCAAACAGTCGACCATAGACCGAAGACAGTATAGAACTCCAAGTCAGTCTACACCCCTATAAACCCTAAACCCTAGACCCAACCTCTAGTCTCCATTCTAGTTCCTTGTTTTGGGGGGGGGGTTTTACCAATTTTATTGTTAGGATTCTAAATGGTAACCCCAAAAAAGGAACTACAATGGAGACTCTAGGAAAACCCTAAATAAACCCTAGACCTTACAAACCCTAAACCCTAGACCCAAAGCCCTAAATAAACCCTATACCTTAAGAACCCAAAACCTACTTTTTGTAGGGTCCCTATAAATCCCATATTAGGGTTTGTAATAAGAACCTACAGAAAAATGGGTTTTGGGTTCTTAAGGTAGACCTTATAAACCTACATCTCCTGGGGCCGAAACAGCCTTCCACATTGGCGTATACTTCTTTGGCGATCCGGCCGCCAACTCGACCATGGTCACCTGCAATTTGACACCATGGGGAGGTTCGGAAATAAAGGGTAGCGGTTTAGGGGTTTAGGGGTTTAGGGGTTAGGGTTTAGGGGGTTCCTTATAATAAGGATCCTACTATTTAGGGTGCTGTATTAGCGTCCCCTACTTTGGGAAACCCTCACAAAGACTCTCCAATTGTGAGCTTTTCTTGGGTGGGCTTAGGGTTTAGGGTTACGAGCTTAGGGTTTATAAGGTTTAGCCACCAGGACCCACCTTGTACCCCCAGACAAGGACAAGTGGCCCCTAATAGGAAGAATGAAGGCTCTGAAAAGAAGGTACATGGAGAGTCTAGCTACAATAAATTTTTTTTATGTCTGAAAAAAAACTATGTCTTTTTTTCTATGTCTGTCTAAAAAGAAAGTACATGGAGAGTCTAGCTACGAGCTGGGGAAAGGGAATTTTTAACAGGCATCACAGGCGCGTATTACTTGTTTTGGGTTTCCAAGGCTTCAGGCTTGTATAAGACTACACATAAGATGAAGGGTGGGCGATGGTTTAGGTCTTTGCTGGGTGGTTATGGAGCTTCTGTCGCCACTTCTGAGGGAAAGTCGGTCCTATCAGGACCAAAAACGAACTGCCTAGCAGTCTTCAGGTAGGTGTCGAGACGGCTAGATTACTGGCAGTGTCAGGGGATTGTAGTGGTGTAGTGAAGCTGCTAGAGTTCAGGGTAAGCTTTACAGGATTCGCAGACCTTGAATGGTCGTGAACGTCAGCAATGCGCACTTGCCTTCTCTTCTGCCACCACACGTGCAAAGGCGTCGTAATCCTAGGCTTGACATGAATGGCATCATGGAGACACCACAGAATCAAATCGTTCAAGCTGAAGACCTAAAGCCTGAACATCTCATAGCCCTTGAATCGTCGAGAAACTGGGCTGCTGCTGCCTCAGCGGCAACGACGGTTCAGCTACCATACTAGATAGGCCCCTACCAGCAGACTTCTCTGTCAATTCCTTTTCAATTTTCTGCACCCTAAACCCTAAAACCCTAAAGCCCTAAAACCCTAAAACCCTAAACCCTAAAACCCTAAACCCTCTAAGCCGACTACCACAAGCCCTTATAAAGCCTATGGTCATGTGCGGCCAGAGTTCAGCTGGAATCAGCGCCGGCAGGATCGTCAGGTTCACGCCAAAAGGCTTGTCCTGCAACCGGGTTTAGGGTTTCTTAGGGTTATAGGGTTTAGGGTTTCTTAGGGTTTAGGGTTTAGGGCTTTGAGGGTTTAGGGTTTAGGGTAGCCCTCCAGCCCAAAACCTTCACCCTCAGCATCAAAATATCCCAAAAGCCACATATAATAGGGTCTTTGGGCCCAAAAGCCTTAAAATATGAGTCCTCTGAGGGTAAGCGTAAGCATCCTAAGACCCCATAACACCCTGAGTCCTAAATCTAAAGCAGATGCCGAGTGCAGCTAACGAAGCCCCCAAATGTTGCCACATAGTAGAATATGACCCCGTGATCGTAATGACTGTAGGGCCTAACCCTGAGAACAGTAGTAGTCTTGGGATCCACGATTGATCGGGTGAAAGGAGCCCTTCCCACGAAGCAGCAACAATATAAGACCCCTTTGCCGGACACCCTCGAAGGCTACCGAATCCACAGGTAGAACCTGGAACCCTCAGCCGAAGATCACCGCAAACGAAACCCCAAAACCTCAAGCCCTACCCGCACTCAACCCGGAACCCCTTTCTCCGGCCATAGGCCCGCGTGATCCAATATAAAACAGTATGTGGTTAAGAATCCGTTGCTCATAATTTCAGCGGCTTATACAGTATATGATAGCAAAAAGACACACAAGTTAGCAAGCAACGCTCGCCGAGCAGATCCTAAAACCCTGAAGCCCAAAACCCCAAACCCTTCTTAGGAAGCCTTAACGGGAGGAGGGCCCCCTTAAAGCCTTTATAAAGGAAGGACGGGGCACCTTTAGAGCAGCCCCTGAAAGACACCCTTTCTCCGGGTCCGTCATCGTGCGGCAACGTCGGATCTCCTTGAACCGGGGCTTCTTTCAAGGGAACTACCCATAATGAGCCACGGTTTCGGGTCTAAGGCTTAGGGTTTAGGGTTTAGGGTTTAGGCCCCATAGTAGTTCCTTGTTGGGGTTCATATTTAGAATCCTATAAGGTAGTCCCCAAAAGGAACTACTATGGGGCCTATGCGTAAGGGCTCCGTTGAGGGATCCTGTAAGGTATGGATCAGGGCTTAGGGCTTTAGGACTTTGGGGCTTCAGCGCTTTGGGGCTTTAGGGCTTCAGGGGCTAAGGGTTTGAGGGCTTTAGGGGTTTAGGATTGTAGGGTTTGGCTTTCGACTGTGACGTCGCTGGCTCGGGCCCTCAGGGTTTGGGGTGTCTTTTCAAACGAGAGCATCAAGGTGCTACACGGGGTTTAAGGTTTTGAGGGGTTGAAGGGTTCAGGTGTTTCGAGCCTTAGAGTTTATGGGTTGAAGAGTCTTTATAGTGGCTAAGCTTAGCAATTGTAGGATAGAGGATACCCCAGGCAGCACAGTCACGTGGCGCACACAAGTACCACAAGGCATCCCCGAAATTGCACTCTGATATACCCCAGAGAGTTTTTTCTGAATCTCATCAGTGCTGCCGCACCAACCGCGGGTGTTCATTAAAAAAGGGCAGCTGAACCTGAAGTAGAAGAATCGAACGACTAAGTGGGCTACTGAACCCCAAAACCCTTCCTATACTTTAGGAAACAGATTTCTGGAAAGTCGTAGTTCTAACCCATTCTGGCTGCTCAAGTACCAGGTGTTCCTGGATCAGGCCACCCTAAACCCTAGAACCCAGAGCCCTAAACCCTAAACCCTTATTCCTAAACCCTAAACCCAAGAACCAAGAACCCAGAACCCTAAACCCTTATTCCTAAACCCTAAACCCTAGAACCCAGAACCCTAAACCCTAAACCCTTGTTCCTAAACCCTAAACCCTGGAAACCTAAACCCTAGAACCTAAACCCTAAACCCCTAAACCCACCTCCTTTCAAGCCGAGCATCAGCACGCAGGGCTTCGGGGTTCGGCTGGGTGAGGCCGGTCAAAATCCCCAGACCCCCAGCCTTGGCCCACAGGGTTTAGGGTTTAGGGCTTAGGGTTCCAGGGTTTAGGGTTTAGGGTTTAGGGCTTTGGGTTTCCCAGCCTTGGTCCACATGGATGCAGTCGTAGGGGCCAAAGGATTCAAGACTTAGAGTTTAGGGTTTAGAGATTAGTGTTTAGGGATTAGGGTTTAGGGATCAAGGTTTAGGGTTTAGGGTTTAGGGTTTAGGGTTTAGGGATTGGGGGATAGGGATTGTAGGGATTAGGGTTTAGGGATGAGGGTTTAGGGATTATGGTTGAGGGTTTAGGCATCAGGGTTTAGGGATTAGGGTTTAGGGAAGGATTCAAGAATTAGGTAGGGCTGGGGTAGTATGAGGGATATCATGGGTTTTTCATAGAGTTCGTGCAGGGGTTCACGGCCCAAAGCGCTCAGTGACTACCTAAACCCCCAAGAGTAGGCAAAATACTGCCCCCAAACCCAGAAACAAATGCTATCATTCTACCCTAAACCCTAAACCCTAAACCCTAAACCTACTTTTGGTATCCACGTAGGAGTTCTACAAAGGACCTGTCAGAGTCGTTTCTCGCGGTTTCATGACGATGAGGCTCTGGCATTCGACACAGCCGACGCCATCTCTGCATAGCCGACGTACTGCATGCCTACCACAGGGGGTGGATACCCCTACCTTAAGAACCCAAAACCTACTTTCTTGTAGGGTCCCTATAAATCCCATATTAGGGTTTATAATAAGAACCTACAAAAAAGTGGGTTTGGGGTTCTTAAGGTATAGTTTTCACATAAACTATGAAAGCCCTGGGTCCTAAACGCTTGAACCCGAGAGCCCTTATTGCTACTTTCAGGAACCCCAAAACCCCTAAACCCTAAACCCCTAAACCCCTAAACCCAAAACCCAAAACCCCTAATCCCTAAACCCCTAAACCCGAACCCCAAAACCCGCAACCCGAGCCCACCACAGAGGAGGAGGCTTCAACCCGGGAGCCCTGCACTCGGAAGACGCAGTCGTGACCGCCTTTGTGTAAGCATCATATCGGGGTGTCTGTCACAGGGTTTAGGGTTTAGGGTTTAGGGTTTAGGGTTTAGGGTTTAAGAAGGCAAACCCTAACCCTCCGGGTACCTACTATAGAGGGTGCTAGAGAGTAGGTACCTGGAGGGTTAGGGACAGCGTTGAGGGCGTAGGGCTCAAACTTCGGGGCTTATTGAGTCTTGAGCGGGAAGCGTACACGATGACTACTGGCAAGATCTTCCAAGCTGCTGCTTGTATAGATCTGGTGGCCAGGATGATGACGGTGAAGATGACCACGCCGATGTCAATGTGGACAATGCTGTTGATACCCATAAGCATTCTCTGATGTTGTTCTTCAAACTCACAACTATGTATCATATCACAGCTATCGAGCTCATCTTACCCTAAACCCTAAACCCTAAACCCTACACCCTACACCCTAAAGCCTAAACCGACAGACTGCGGCCTCCTTGGATGATGGGATGCTCGATCCCCAGCATCTCCGTCAGCGCGGTCTTCAGCGGCATGGCTGCAAAGGGGAAGACTTCCAAGATAACGAGCAAACACACACACACACAACCCTAAACCCTAAACCCTAAAACCTAAACCCTAAACCCTAAACACTAAACCCTAAACCCTAAACCCCTAAACCCTAAACCCCTAAACCCCCCAACAAATAAGGTTTACAGGAGTTGAATTTCCAGGCCTTCAACCTAGAGTGTCAGCTAGCCGGCATTTTCACGCAAAGCTTGACGTCTCATTGACTGGGAATTACACAAACATATTACATATAGACATAGACATGCCCCCAAGATTTTCGTGGTGCGACCGGTACGACAGACTTTGGAGCCACAACGTCCTGCAAGGGTTTGGGAAACGGTAAGCTTAGACAAGCTTAAACTGGGCATTGCAGAATGCCAGCCAGACTGCCAAACATTCCAAGCATTGAGGCCCGCCTATAGCAGGGAGAGCTCGACAGGGACTAGACAGGAATAATACTTCTAGCCCACGAAAACCTCGAGCTCTTAACAGCTTACAAATTGAGGTTTAGGATTCTACTTTGGACCTTATGCAGTCACGGCTAGTGAGGCACCCAGCTCTGAACGCTCGTCTAAAAACAAACCGACGAAAATGCAGGTGAATGTTGCAATGACCCGCTATGACTGCTAGAATTCCCTGAACCCTAAACCCTAAAGCCGCGCTTTTTCTCCTCTTCGGCCACAACCCCCTCTGTGCAGGCTATAGACGCTGCGCCGTCAAGAGTAAGACTAGACAAAGCCGTTTCAAACTCCAGGGTCAGCTTAGCCGGGCCCTAGGTGACTGAAAGAGAGAGGTGTGGTTCCGAAAACTGTCCCAAGCCACGGGTTACTGAACCAAGGGTTAAATTTTAAATGGGCTCCATCATGAGGTTGAAAGCTTAAGCCGAAATACAGGTGCAGGGGCCTGACTAGGAGGTGTGGGGCTTCGGGAAGAATCGGGGTAGACTCAGCAGGATAAGAGGGTTGGAGTTGTGTTCATGAAGAGTTCTCAAGCTAGGGCCCATTTTCAAGTCCCCTAAATTACTAAACCCTAAACCGAGCACCCCTATAAAAGGGACCCTAAAAGGAATCCTGATTTAGAGACCTACCCTCATGCTAGGGTTGGGGACGTTCTGATAGAGAACCCACCACACCTCGCATCGTGGTGAACATCTGCAGCCGGAGGATGCTCGTAGGGCTTTAAGGTTCAGGGTTTTTGGGTCTTAGGGTTTAGGGTTTTTGGGTCTTAGGGTTTAGGATTTTGGGGTCTTGGGGTTTGGGGTCCTAGGGACTTAGGGCTTAGGATTTTACTCCGGCCGTTCCGCGGTGGAGGGCTGAGGACTTCGGCGCGGCTACGGTGTGGACATTTAGGAGCAGGAGTTGAAGCTTTAGGAGGGCTTCATCTTGCCCCCAATTTGGGGCCAAAGTATATACTATTTGGGTACATGGACCCTTAGGGTTGCCTATGATGCTGCATCCCGCCGGCTAGCAAGTTCTGAGAAGGCCAAGCACATACTCGGCTGTTGTAACACAGAGCTGACGATGGGAGCTTCGCTTCTACTCCAAATTAGTGACCCGGTGGGAACAGTACATTTACATACCTGTCGAGGGGTAGAATACATCTGTAAATTTGGGCTGCCTATAATGATTAATTTACTTATGATGTGTTTATGTATGTGTCTGTTGATTTCGCTGACAACTACATGCAACATGTTTGTTGGTTACTTAGTTTATCTGTGTAGTACGAATGCAAAAAGAAAACAACAGAACGTTTACCATATACCATTCAATCATTAATCTAGCTTAAGATGTGCAGCTTCAAAGCAACACCATTTATGCCGCACGCTTCCTGACCGAAACACCATCATCAAAGAACACCCAAGTCTATTGAATTCCAGTGCCCTAGGAACGCTGACATAAATTCGGTTCCGTGGTTCTGAACTCTTGGCTCGAAGCTTTGCTGCATAGGCCATGCTTTATGGCAAGTTTCAGGCAGGAATCCAACCAAATTGAAGCCTCGCATTTCATGTCCTTGCCAAAGCTCCCCCCCCCTCTCACCATGGCAGATAGCCCTTGTGGTCATCCGCCATGGAAAGGTTACGCTGCTCTGATTCGTAAAACTCTGAACAGTCCAATCCATAGACCCCCCCTGCTCCCAAGTACAAGCCCAACCATACAAATCAGAGTTATTACGCCCTAGACACCCCCCACCCCCGCCGTAGTGCAGGGGCCTTACTTAGAGTAGGGTTTTGGGGGTTCCTTGTAAGTGTAGTATAATATACCCCAAACCCTATTCTAATTATTAAGGCCCTAAACCCTCAACCCTATATTAAACCCTAAACCCTCTTGCACCTGGAGCTCTCGAACCCGTCGGCTCTGAACCCGGAGACCTACAACCACCAAAACCCTCAGCCTCAACCTCAGCCGCGGTTTTAAGGTTTACGGTTTCGAGTTTCGGGTTTAGGGTCTCATGAATTTGGGTGTAGGGTTCATGTTGCTTCCACCTACCATGGGCCCTGGTGCCTACACACCCCAGCAACTTGTTGAGTTTTATGTCTGCCTTTCTCCACAACTCATATCCCCCAGGCCTGGTGCTTCCAGGCATAAACCCCCTTACGGTAAGACCCCAAACTCCAACCTAAAGGTTTAGGGTTTAGGGTTAAACCCAAGAACCCCAGAACCCCAGGCCCCAAACCCGAATAGAAGCCTTTGAAGAAGGCACTGGGGGGCTGTAGGCAATACATGGAAGCTCGAAACCGTAGGTACCAAGCCCCAAACCCTAAACCCTTATTACTAAGCTTTATAAGCCCTAAACCCTAATTACTAAGCCCTAAACCCTGAACCCCCCTAATTTCTAAACCCTGAAGGTCGTGGCTCAGCCTTGGGGGAGCAGGTCTTAACCCTCTACTTCTTTGATCTCAGTTCTTGGCATTCAGGCGTTCCTCCTCCGGCAGCTCCGGATTCGGGGTACAAGGAACGTAATTAGTTCAACATACCATCACAAGAATGCTCTATGGAAGTTTCGGTGCCTTAAGCTACCTAGCTCGTTGTGCTGGCAGCCCGTTTTCCGATGCAAGGACAGCGCCGCCCCTACAGAAAAACCCACGAAGCCCCCCATAATTTCTGCGAAGCCTCCGAAAATTTCGGTCCTTCACAGCCTTAACATCTGTAGCCCACACTGCCACACCCTAAACCCCCAAAACCAAACGCTGTAGAATCTCAACAAGAACCCCAAACCCCAAGTCTACGGCCCTTCTTCCCCTAAACTGTAAGAATCCAAACTCTACACCCTTTTACCCCAAGAATCAACTAACCCCAAGACTCAACAACCCTGAGACCCACACCAGAAAATCGACCCTAATCCCCTAATCCCTAAACTCTAAACTCTAAACCCTAAACCCGAACTCTTGTCCTCCAGCTCACGCACCGTCTTGCCGCGGTTCGCACCCTCCTGCTCCACGCGCTTCAGCCTCGGCGCTTCGGATGCTTTACCCATAGGCCCTCATAGTAGTTCCTTTTTGGGTTTAGGGTTGGTCCGGGGTTTAGGGTTTAGGGTTTGGGGTTACCTGATGATAGGATTCTAAACATGAACCCCAAAAAGGAACTACTATGGGGCCTATGGGTACGGGCTGCAGCCCTACAGAGGGGCGAGAACAAAAGCGGGAATATTGCTACGCGCAGGTTCTATCATATTATATATACACACACATACATATATGTGTAAATAAACAAATAAATAAATAAATAAATAAATAAATAAATATATATATATATATATACACACACACTTGCGAGACAGATTCATACATACAGCGTACAGCTAAAACTATGACTATAGCGACTGCAAATAACTAATACAGTTACTACTAGTTACTACAAGATAATGAGGGTGTGCTGGCTTTATGAGGGTGGCTAATAAATGCTGACCTTAACCATTAGACTAGGATTAGGATTTGGGGGTATACGATTCTTTAACATCAAAGGAACCCTAACAGGGAATGGCATTGACAGCATTGACAATTCGGGCTTGCAGGCTTTAGGGTTTGTGATGTTCAGGGGGTTTCGGGTTTAGGGTTTAGGGTTCAGGGCTTTGTAGAGGGCTCTACCTCTGGGGCTTTCAGGGTTGCGGCTTAGAAGTTTGAAAGCGCAAGTTAAGGTATGGCAATCAAGGACGAGTCCTCTTGATAGCAGATGATTTCGTCGAAACAATCTGAAATTTGCCGCAACTTTCGGAGGCGTGTGCTCTCCCTGCTGGAAGTGCCGCTGCGTGGGCCCTATTTTAATGTCACGACAGCACAATATCAAGCGAACATATCAACTAAGAACTCATATCGGCCTTAGACCGTAAAAAAGCCTCTAACGGTAGGCCCCCAACCCTGCATTCTAGAGGTTTTCGGCTCTCCGGATCCTTGCTGCCCTGGCACCACGCGGCACGGCTGCCTGGGCTTCCCCCCAGAGTCTGTGGCCTGCGGGAGTGCAACGCGACCTGCCTGGACCCCTCTAAATTAGGGTTCTTCGAAGGATCTGTAAGGGTTACCGTATGGTTTCTATAAGGGTACTGCAAGGGTAGCTCTCTAAATTAGGGTCCCTTGTTAGGTCCACAATATGGTATGGCACCCTTACAAAAGAACCCCAAAGGGAGCCGAATTTAGAGAACTACCCGCATGCTTGCTTTTTTTAAAGCACGGGGAAGGGGTAGCCGTCTGATGCAAAGTTGGTTTGAGAGCTAGGCCTGTCTAGAGCTTGGATTTAGGGTTTATACCGGGGTGTACGGTTTGGGTTTGGTCGAGGCTCAGCAAGATTTCGTAGCGCAGTAGTGACCCCAAGCCCAAGGATTTATTGTATAAGGCAATGACATCATGGCAAAACTCCAAAAGACAGGACTCGACCTTGCAGACCACAGCAAGATCTCTAGAACGCTTAGTTTAACCTGCCCTATACGAGCGAGTGCCAACATCTGTTGCAAACTTGTGTCAAGGACCTTCCCGCCACGTGCTCTCAGGCTGCGC